TAAGATTCTATTGAGTTGTTTCTGTTTGCTGAGTCGTTTTTCGTTGGAACTAGCCAAGTATGAAATCTACCGAGTTCCATATCACTATTGATTTTAATTTTAAATCAAACTCGATAGACATTAATTTGCCGAGTTCCCGATGGAATGAACTCGGTAGACATTAATTTGCCGAGTGCGCGATAGACATTAATTTTAAATCAATCTCGTCGTGGATCTCTAGTCTTAGACCCAGAAGATGCTCAATGTGGGCTGTGTTGTCGTTTGTGGTTGTTCGTTTATTAGAAGGACAATACTATTTCAGCGGGATGTCCTCTGAGACCCGCAATATGGAGTGGAAGATGCTCCGTGTGGCCTCTATTGTCGTTTGTGTTGGTTTGCACATGACATGACATGGCATGAGATGGCATGCATGCATGATGACGCATTAGGAAGATAATATTGTCAGTTCGATTGATACCGTTTTTGTCCCTGTTGCTGCCTTTCTCTCATAAGCCGAGCCTTTCATAAGGCATGCTCCTAATTCATTGAGAGTTCTGAAATGTTAAGAGCATCTACAGACATTTACCGGTCACGCCTTAAATAATCAATTTTGTATCCGCGTATCTCATATTCGCCATCCAGTATCCATACTACACATGCAATGTAATAAACTACTCTAGGTGATGAAACAATGGGCAAAGAAATCGGCATGAAATAGACAATGAAATTCACATAAACCCCACTACATCCAAACGGTCACCATCGCCAGACAAGTTCTTAACTCAAAAAAGTAAAAAATGATAATATAAGCGGAGGCGGAGCAGGATCTCACCACTTCCTCGCCGGGCCTTTGCCCTTCCGGTTGCCGACGTAGCTGCAGGCATCCGCGGCTGGTGGTGGATCTTGGTCGTCAGAAGAGAGGGTGGATCAGTTGTGGTCGTCGCCATCGTCAGTGCAGATCCAGAGATGCCCCCGAAGTCCACCTTTGACCGCTCCAATGCAATGCGGAGGGCCATCTCCACCTTGACGTCGAGGTCGAAGCCCTAGTGACTGTTGGAGCTCGACATGTCGCTGGATTTGACCGAAATCGGAGAGGGGAGAGAGGGGATGGAGCGAGATAGGACAGTGAGTGAGCTAGGGTTCGAAGACGGGACAGATTGGTGTTTTTGGTGGCACGGCCATGGGGTCGGTGGTGGGCCGAGCTGATGTGGCAGACACGCCAGGCAAACCCGAGTCACCCCATATCCGCACTACATTTGAGCTATATATGAGGGGCACCGGATAGCTCGGGTGTTTGAGGCCAGTTTGAGGCGCTTGGGTGGGTATGCTTTTTGTGACCGATAACTAACCAGTCCACCCGTCCAGGCGTTTGATACGGGTTTGAATGTCCGAATGTAGATGCTCTAAGAGCATCTCCAACACTAACCCTCAAACCATATGCAACCGTCTGGAACGCGCTGTCCAAACATGTTTTGCCATCCAACACGGTCCAGCATCAGTCCGCAAGCCGGTCCAGACTCACTTTTTCCCGCAAACTGCAGACAATGTAGGGTGGTGGATTTGCCGGCGTCCGGACTGCTGTCAAGCCTGCTCCTGACAACTCTGGCCCACCCAAAACCCTCCTCCCTCGCCCATGCGAGTCCCCCCTTCCCTCGGCGTCAGCTGCCCGCATTCATGCCGGTGTAGAGTGGCTACTCCATATTGACGTCAGCCTAGAGGGGACGTGACCTCTCACTGGCTCTAGCATTGAAGTGGTGTGCCAACTGAGGGCGCCACCGGCGCCGCGTCCCCATTGTCTGCACCTGTTCATTGTCGGAGACACGCTTACTGGACGGGACGGGATGGATATCTACCATGTACGTTCAATGCCCGCATGTCCGTATGCCTGGAAACCCACTTTGTGCCACGCAGTGAAGCACCCCAATGCTTAGCCTCACCGGAATCCGCTAGTTAAAGGCGGCCACACCCGGCAAACTCCACGCCACAACACAACTACTCCACAACCTCATCTCTTGCACCACATATGTCATGACCGTCAACGGCAATGCTTTGTTGGAGAGCCTGTCAATGGAGATGAAACACGAGGGAGCCACCCTTTCGGCCGCCTAGCAGAGCCGTCGTGCCAGGGGGATCGAGGCCAGCATGCCAACCAGCTCGCCCAAGGTCTCCGACGACTACGACCCCATGATGGAGACGGACTCCTACGTCACCGCACTGGAGCTCACATCTGTGCATGCCGGCTTCACTATGGAGCAGGCGAAGGCGCACTTCAACGCCATGATGGCGGAGGCGCAGCCTGCATCGGCTCCTATGTCGGTGTTCCGGTGGGCGCGGGAGGAGTAGCAGCACAACCTGCTCCTCCTCGAGCAGCACCAGCTGGCGGAGGTCCAAACTGACCGCGAGCGCGCCAGGAAGGAGTCCATGGCCGCGGCTGACCCCAACTTTATCACGGAGCAGCAGGCAATCTACAAAGCTGCCCGCTTCAAGCCGCCGCTCACAATGAATAGGCGGGCGCGGAGGTGGGGACGTGAATGCCACTAGCTGTGCGTCCTACGCCCTGCCAACAAACGTTCGAGCGCGCCGGTGGGACGATGAGAGCGCTGACAGCTCCATTTCCATCGTGGACCTCACGTACACCGGCGACGGACAGGTCACGGACTCCTCCGAGGATGAGTAGGGCATGGGAGGCGGCAGGGTCTTATGTCGCATGTGGGCTGGTCCGTCTCTGATATTCTACTCTTTTTCGCTGGCGATCGCACCTTCACTACATGAGTCTTATAGCCGGTGCTTTTGGAGACGACGGGTGGAGGGTACGGGCACTGGAAGGGAACAACAAGGGCTTGGACCACAGATGCCGTTGTAGTCTAAGTTTAGGTCCGCCCCCTTTTTTTAATGAAAACTCTCCAGAAATGTAACGAAATGTTCTCTGGTTTGTTTGAATGTCATCCGGACTACATGAATTTTGTCTGATTTGTTGAAAAGGTGTTTGAAATGTATGCAGCAACGTTGGATGGCCGGTTCTCGCATCAGTGTCCGCGGACTGGTCCCTCCCTATAGACGGACAAATGCGAAAGCAAATTTGCGGGTCAACGTTGGAGATGCCCTAAGAGCATCTCTAGCAGACCCCTTATATCGTGCTGAACTACAAATAACCGACAGTTTACAGTTTTGCATGGAAAAAGCGCCCCGAACAGACACCTTAAATGCCCCTGGCCCTTAAATTTTTTTGAGCGGCGCGGTAAATTGCCCCCCCCCCCCCACCCGCCTTCGAAAACATATGTTTCCCCCGCCCTGTATAGTGGAAAAGCAGTTGGGGGAGGTGGGAGGGTCATTTCAGCCCGCGCGCATTCCTCTCCCCCATTCCGCAGCTACCCGCCCACCGTCTTTGATTCCGGCCATATCCGCCGGCGGAAGCACACCGCCGAGCCGCTGCAGACCCGGGTCCACCGCGCCGCTTTGCCGGTGCCCCGAATTGACCACCGCCTAGTCATCGCCTGCCCAGGATCCATCGGTGAGTCATGTTCTGTTCCTTCAAGTTAGATTTAGCGAATGATTTCCGTTCATGCGAGCTCCGTTGCGAGTTGTAAATGGATTTGAGCCCTTGCTAGAATTTTTTGCTCGAGGACTCGTCCTCGTCGGACGACTGGGACAACGTCGGTAGCCATGTGGAGCCATCTAGAGACCCTAACCGCATACTAGCATCCTTTAGACATACCGGGAAATTGAAGACTCAAACCCAACACCAGCTTCTGCACGATCTCATTGAGCACAATTGGCAAAGGCATGGGCTGTAATAAAACATGCCATTTTACATTCATTTAATTTAATTCATGTGTGATTTGTATCATTGTTGTATTCAGAACAATTCTTGTATTGTTTATAATTTTATACTTAGATTTGAATAACTATAGTAATTTGGATTATTGTTGTATTGTAACACTCAGATTTTTAATTAATATTGACTCCATATTGTTGTGTAATATGACAATATGTGTCAAATTGAGAAGAAAACGACGTGTTTTGAGGGTTCTTTTACTGTTCAGCCTTGCGGGGTCTGTTCGGCCGCAGCCCGCGCCAGCTCTTAAAACATGTTTCCTGCGGCCCTTATACTCACTTTAAAGATTTGCACGATAAGGGGTCTACTAGAGATGTTGTAAACGGTTTATCCCATAAGCCGAGAAGTCAGCTAATGGAAGAAGCCGTAAAAAAAATAAGGCATAAACCTTGTGCCCCAATCTTGATGACCTTTTTTTCCATGGTAATACATGTCTCATTCATATGATAAAGATCAAACTATAAGTCACATAAGGACCAACATAACAGAACTCAAAAGATACCAGAACATCTATGAGTTTGAAACACAACACGAACGAATCTCGCAAAGAAAAACACAAACGGCGATGCGTATTTTTTTAAAACACACAAGTTTTTATTGCAAGGTAATACGTGTCTCATTTATATCATAAGTATCATAGTACAAGTCACGTACATACCGACCTGATAAATCTGAACATATAGCAGAACACTGGACTTTGCACAAAGGAACAACATCCAAGAAGTAAAATTACTAACAAGACCGAAGATACCTCTGAGCTTGACACTGACGCCCGTCACATGCCTCTGGCACCATCACAGCAGTCACCAAAGGAAAAAATGACTGATCACCTTCACACCCAAGCTCAACGCGGCTCGATCGCTGACGTGCAGCTTTGCGGACCTCTGAGGTGGCTCGCCAAAAGCAAAACCTTACCGTTGAATGAAACATACCGGGGCAACACCCCGGACACGCCATCATACTTCAGATCTGACAGCCCCACATGACTAAGACGTCGAAGAAGGAAACCGTACCTGCCATCCACGTACCACGAACCCAACACACATATGCTAGCATATAGTAAGCTATATATGTAGGGTAACACGTACACGTACACGGTACATACCATGAAATGAAATGTGTACACGTACACGTGCACGTACATTTAACTTCCGAGTGGCGGACGTACAGGTGCACGTACGTCAGATCAGATGGCATAGTGGCTGACGCTGAAGGCGTCCTCGGGCCTGGCCTGCGGATCCGTCCTGCTCTTCATGAACCGCTGCATATACTCGTTGTACTTGAACCCCCTGTACTGCGGCGCGCCGCCGATCTTGGCGGCGAACTCCGTCAACGGCTCCACCCACTTGTCGCCGTGGATGGACCAGAAGAAGCCAAACGAGTGCCGGTGCGCCGCCTTCCTCACCACCCGGTGCGTCGCGCTACGGAACGTGTTGTTGCTCAGCACCCTCAGGACGTCGCCGATATTAACGACGATGCTTCCGTCGGCGGGCTCTGCCGCAATCCACTGCCCGTCTTTGAGGACCTCCAGCCCGCCTACGCCGTCCTGGAAGACAAAGCTGACGCAACTCCCGTCCTCGTGCTCGCTCAGCCCAATCTCCTCCCCCTCCCTCGACGACGAAGAGAAGTAGCGCAGCGCCACCATGACGTCCAGGCCGCGGTCGCTGTTGTATTCCTTGAGGAAGCCCGGCGGCAGCCCCATGCAGTCGTTGAGGATGTCCTGGATGAGCAGCCCCAGCTCGGTGAGCTTCGCGTAGCACTCCTCCATTGCTTCTCTGAAATTAAAGCTCAAGATCAATCGATGATGTTCATAATAAGAGTCATTCTCATTTCTCGTCTCTCTGGTTGTAGTCAAGGCAAAAGTATTGCATGGAAGAAAGAAATCTGACCTGAAACCGGCCGGCTCATCGGGGAAGTACAAGTTGAGCTCGTGCCGAGGATGACAGACCCGCACGTACTCGTACCTGTCCACCAAATGGGCGGGATGCCGCCCGTGGCCAGCCGGCAGGGGCGCCTGGGACCCCTCCGCCGGCCGGACCTTGGCCTTCTCCTCGTCCGGCAGCGCAAAAAAAGCGGCCGACAGCTCCAGCGCGCGCTTCATCAGCTCCGCGGGCATGCCATGGTTCACGGCACGGAAGAACCCCAGCGTGTGGCACGCCTCGCGCATGGCTTCAGTGGCGCGGGCCATGCCGCTCTCATCCCCGGTGAAGAAAGGCGCCAGGTCCACGACAGGGAGCGTGCCGCTGGTCGCCATACCTGCT